TCTTTAAAGTGTTAAAGAACAAAGATGTCAATTTGAGGATTAATATGTGCCTGACCCAAGCCATGGTATTTTCAATAGCCTCATAAGCATGTTAGAGCTGGATTATGAAGAAGAATTAATGCATTTGAGTTGTGGTGTTGGTGAAGAATGTTGAATATACTATAGATGGCTACAAGAATAAACAAATCTGTCTTGGAAGTACAGCCAGAATGCTCCTTAGAAGAGAGAATGGTCAGACTTCATCTCTCTTAATTTAGTCATGTTGTCAGAAGTAACCCAATCTCTAGAGAAAGATATCATGCTTGGTGAAGTAGAAGCTCAGCGAAAAAGCAGAAGACCCTCAATGAGACTGACTGACACAGTGGCTGCGATGATGGGCTCAATCATGGCAACTGTGAGGATGGTGCAGGACTGGGCAGTGTTTTTTTCTTTTGTACACAGACCACAAGCCAGTTGCTCAAACAGAACAAGAGTTTAACAAGGGCACCTAACAACAGCAACAAAAACCTTATTAAACTCCTATTACCACCACCATTTCACTTTAAGATCCAATCACAGTTCCCAGAGTTTCTCATGTCTGAACCCTACTCTGAAGCTCTTGCTTCACTGCATAGTCATGATTGGGGCCTTTGAATATGCATGACAGAATCATGCTTTTCTCTCTCTCTCTGCTCTTGGAGGTTAGCTGATATCAGGTCAAGAGGTGGTCCTTCTGGCTTGGCCAACCTCCTTACTCCACTCATTAATACACATTTTCAGGTATAGTCTTTAGGCCTAGATAACAAAAGGTACCTCTATTACTCAGGAACTCCTAAGATTCTCTCTCAGGAACCAAGGATAAAGACTCTCTGTAAGACAATTCATTGCCAACAGAAAAATGTGGCAGTCTACTTCCATAAAGATTAAACCAAGTGAAAAATTTGAACAGGCCCATCACAAAAGAAGAAATTGAACAGGTCATCAAAAAATTACCAACTAAAAAAAGTCCTGGCCCAGACGGTTTCACTG